TGCCCATGCTATTGGGCCTGTCTTTTCTGGGAAATTTAAAACACAAAACAAAACACACAGTATGAAGTTCACGCGCACATCTGTAATTATGATTATTGGCTAACATCGTAGTGTCTACAGTGTACCTGCCCTGTGTTCCTGCGTTAGCTCTGGTCTCACTGAAGCCTCGCAACAACCCAGGGAGGCAAGTCCTATGATGAGCTTTATTTTACTGCCTCAGAAAATTGAGGTATTAGGAGGTTAAATGACTTTTTGACCAACCACATGGGTGGTGAGGGAGACAGGACTCCACCCCCAGGGCCTGGTGGTCCTCCCCATCCAATGCAGCTGGGGCTCATATAAACACAGAAATGGAAGGGAATATAGACAACAAGAGTCTTTCTTTCATTCAACAGTAGAGAAAACTGAGAATCGAGTGGATCCATCTCTCCTCTGAGGGCAAAGAACCTGTGATTTCTCCACCACAGCCTTTTTCTGTGAGCTGTCACATCCCAGGCTCAGAGCTGGACTGGAGCCTTTCCTCGGCCAGTCCCATCACTGCCCATTGCTTCCCCAATACCACACACCCACAGGCTGACTTCTCAGTCACCTCTGGCTTTGCTAGATTTTCAAGTGCAAAAAAAACACTTAGAAGCTACTCCTTCCCGAGGACCTACTGAACACCAGGCTCGGTCAACCCTCACATTGCCCCTGTGTGCCAAGTGCTATTATTATCTCTATTTTAGACATGAAAAGGTTAGCCCAGAGCGTTTTAATTATTTGCCCAAGTCACACAGTTAGTAGCAAGATCTTGTTAGCAGGCTGCCTGCAAAAACAGTGAACGCATATCAACGGCACCCTTTCCATCTTTCCCCCTTTGTGGACAAGGTGTGTCCTTCACCAACTCCGCACTCGCCATCCGGTCCTTCAACCTGAGGTCAGAAATGATTCAAAGGCAGGACTAACACAAAGCCAGCAGTTTGCAGAGCTAGTTTTCATCATCTACCACAGGCCTGGACCAACCCTCACCCAGGCCCTAAATTCTTCTATTGACCTAAAAATTCACGCCATCAATTTCCCACTGAAAGAAGAGGTTCAGGCTCCACCTCAGCCCCAATTCCAAAATGTCCCCACAGATTAAGGTCTAGCAGTACCCAAATTTCTCTGGGTTAGGCAGTGATGCATGAGTTTGCCTATGAAGACCTGAGAGCACCATAATTCAAGAAAGGCAGAGGGCAAGCTGTGCAAAATTCCTGAGATAATTGAAATTGACCCATAACTCACCAGCCACCACAAGAAATTCTATCACTTTGCACACTTTGCTTCCATAGCTAAAAATCAAATCAGGGGAACATGATCAGACTTCTAATTTGAAACCTCGGACATGCAATGTCATCTTTAATGACTCCCAGCAAAAGATGCTCATTACAGATCTCAGCCTACCTAAATTAAAACATGAAATCTAAAAATTAAGCAGAAAATTCTCAATTTCTCAGGTCTGTAAGGTCACAGAAAAATCACACAAGTGGGAATACACGTACTCCTTAGGGTTTTGTTCTGCCGCTAAATATATGAGCAGGAATTATATGAAAGCAAAGAGCTAGAAGGGGAAAAAATAAATAAACAAACCCACCAGGTCTTACCTTTCGGGTCTGGGCTATCTGGGTAAATAGCAATTTTTCATGTCCAATTTGAACTAGCATGTCAAGGAACATTATCTCTCTGCTGATGGCCAGTGTCATCTGTTCTATGATGTAGAGCTCAGACTCCTCTGATACAGTAGGCTGCTGGCTTCAAGTCTTCTCTCACTGGTAAGTGGACTGAAATATGCTGCAATCAGTCAGCACGGTGTTCAGGTGTGTAAGCTGCCTTTAAAATGGGAGGCTAAAAATTCATCTCTCATCACCAGTTCTAAACCTCATCCAGGGACACCTCGGTGGCTAAATCCATTGAGCATCTACCTTCGACTCAGGTCATGATCCCAGGGTCCTGGGATCGAGCCACACATTGGGCTCCTTGCTCAATGGGAAGTCTGCTCCTCCCTCTCCCTCTGCCCCTCCTCCTGGCTTGTGCTCTCTCTTGCTGTCTCAAATAAATAAAGGCTAAAATAAATAAATAAACCAAATTCAGTATGGAGTTTCTAGAAGGTTAGGTAACCACTAGACAATCTGCGAACACGGTTTTTAAATTTCTTCCCTCCACTTCCCATCCACCCTTCTCTTTGTGTCACCGTATGACTGGCTGCCACTGCCCAGAGTAATGTGCATGGCCAGCTTTCACATCTGTTTGTGACTCAGTCCCTTCTAGACCCCTATCCAGGAGGAGGAGGCAATTCCCTGTCTGCAGCAACACCTCAATAGATGGCTCAGAAATATTAAGATAAACAGAAACTACAAGTTCAAAACTTTATTTTCCTTCAGTGTGCATTTTACAGAGAAAAGTCAGAGAGTGGGGACCAGGGCTGCTGTAGGGTTAGGCTACCAGATCCCGAATGCAAACAGGGTAAATTTCCTCTTTAGGACAGGGGAATATCTGCAAACAGTGTAAAAGAGAAGCTATAAGGTTTATTTTTTCAATTCAAAACTATTTCTTCTGAGCCTTAAATTGTGCACTGTAATGCAGAGTTGACCTCCCTTCTGAAATTCAACTATTTAGTGAGGCATGGTCACGGTGTATAAGAACAAAGACCAAGATGTTTCTAAGTATAACAGGCAAACTGGGAAACCCTTTAGCAAACTAAAACTTGTGAAGGGGAAAACCTACCCCATGTAAGCTGAGGGGGGAAAGCCAGGCTAACAGTCTTGGGTTGCCAGGGTGGCTCAGTGGGTTAAGCCTCTGCCTTCCACTCAGGTCATGATCTCAGAGTCCTGGGATCGAGCCCCAAATCAGGCTCTCTGCTCAGTGGGGAGCCTGCTTTCCCCTCTCTCTCTGCCTGCTGCTCTGCCTGTGATCTATCTCTCTGTCAAATAAATAAATAAAATCTTTTTAAAAAAATAAAAAATAAAAATAAATAAATAAATAAATAAGTCTAGGTTACTCCCAGAAAAGACCATGTTTGTCACTACATCACAAGCTCTCGTAAGCACTTCCCCCTAGAATTGTATCACTCCCAGGGCTCACCCAGAGCTTCCAGCTCACAGCATCTCCTATCACTCTCTCGCCCACATCTGTCTTAAAACTTTAAGGGGAGGGAGGGAGGAGTGTTTCCACAACCTCGAGTCTACATGATTTGAGTCTAGTTCTAACCGAAAATGAAAAAGGTCTTGGCAGATACGCTCTCTCTGCTTTTATTGTGTATAGACAACAGAGGTTATTGGACCAAAAAAAATTAATTAAAATAATAAAGGACAAGAAGACAACTACTCTGAATGTGAAATACAGTCAACAGTCCAAACAGCCTCTTGTGACCATCCGTGGGCTGAGCTCTATGGGCAAGGAGCCTGGGTCTAGCATGCCTGCCCAAGAGTCATGGCTTTTCATCATACCAACTGACACAAGAAGCCCTTTAGGAGAATATGCTTCCTAAGAACTGCATGAGGGCGAGCATTCACAGGGAGGCAGAGGAACCATGCTAGGTGCACACCAGTCACTGGAGATAGGACCCCAAATCGTGCTGGGTCCCAACCCATTTGTTTAGTAAATTAATTTTATGAGCAAGTCAGAAGTTAACAGAGCCCCCCAACCAGGATCACCTTTTAACCAAGAACCCCTCTGTGTCCCCCTGGCTAGAGAAAACCCCTTTGCTAGCATTCTCCAACCCTGCCATTAAAACTGGGCAACCTAGGACAATTGACGTAATTAAGGACAAATCAAAGCAATCCTCTAACATTACTCGCAATAACCATATGAAATTTCTAATGCCAAGGAGCAAACTGAACCAATAACAAAATGCATTTCAGAGGTTTAAAAAACTTCAGCATCTATAATCAGCTGCTATGGAAGCTGCTACAGCCCGTCGCAGGCTACCTACACCTTTGTTAACAGCAACATCAGATATGGTAATATTCACTGAGCTCTTCCTCTACCTGGGTCCTCTATCTTCTGCCTACAGAGATGAAATATAAGATGAAAAGTGCCATGTGAATGAGCCAGAACAGCAACTCGAGCAGGGATGAGGCTCGGGTTGGGGAAATGGAGGTGCCTAAGACGTGCTGACCCCCATGAGTGAGCAGGTCCCCAGGCTGAACTTCCTCCACTAGGTTTGCAATTGTAAAAGCAAGCCTGTCACTTATTGCACACTCGAAATGATAAGAAACACACAGCAGCAAGCAAGCCCATCTGGAGAACATTAGAAACAGCAGGGGGCTGAGGGATCTTTTGGAACAAAAACTCCAGGCCAGCCATACGTTTATGGGGCAAAATCAAGAAGAGAAAGAAAACTCAGAAAACACATCTGTCTATCCATGTGCATTAAGTATAGGAATAAAAGGATTAAAAAGCTAACATTTGTAAACATCTATGTGCCAAATGCCTTAAATACATCAGCTTATTTAATATTCAAAACAACACTCAAATATGGGTATAATCACCCTCACTATTATTATTGCCATTTAAGAGAGAAGAAAATTGAAACTTAGAGAAATTTAGTAAATTGTCCCAGATCTGGGAGCTAGTAAATGCCAACAGGGACCTATTCTATTATCCTAATTCTGTTGTTTTTAACTGACAGTCCCACATGGACAGAGGTCATTTTCAAGAAAAACAGAAAGCAATAAAATAATCCACTGCAGCCTATCCCAAGTTAGTAAGACACCATTTACACATCAGCCTAAGTGCATTTGTACATAGACCTGAAGAGAAATTGTCTTATCTCACATTATCTTCACAGCCTGGCAGTAATTTTGAGTTGTTCGGAAAGCACAGATTGTCATCCTATTAGACAGATGAAGAAAGCCGACTGCCAAGTGTAGCTTGAGTGAGGGACAGAGAAAGGATGGTGGCCCAAACCCTCTGAAGCTCGCCAAGCCATGGCTCCTCCCACTGGACATCCCCAAAAGCCTTTAATAAAACAAACTACTGACCTCCACATCCCCGTGAAACTGAACATGGTGCTCACACAGCGAGGGAGGGGTGGCGGCGTGAGTCCATCCAGGCGCATGAGCAGAGCTGGGACACCGAAGAGCACCAAGTACTTCAGATAGAAGAAGAGCACATGGGCCAACGCCAGTCCTCCTGAAAGATGGGGGAGCTGTGAGACACACAGATAAGCAATAGGGCAATCTCCTATTCCTAAAAATACACCACCTGCTCCCACTTCTCCACCCGTCCCCTTCCATCCCCTTCCCTCATGCATTACAAAGTTTCCCACATTGGTTTGGAGCAGTAAGAATATTTGAATGAGCAAATACTGAAATCTTCTTTATTACTGTGATAGGCAAGAGGACATCTTGGCAGCCATTCTTCTATAGACGCTACATTTAAAAGTGTTTTGTATATAGTTATGCATTTAAATTATATTTATAATATGTATTTATATATAATTATATATAATGGATTATAGAAAGGGAAAATCCTCCCCAAATTCTTTCAAAACCTCATGAGCTCACACCCACTAGTATGGCTAAAAATCAAAAAGTCAGATCAGCAAATGTATATACATATATATGTATAAAAGTCAGATCAGCAAATATATATACATATATATATGTATATAAGGTGAGAAAGATGTGGAGAAATTGGAACTCTCATACACCGCTGACAAGAAAGCCAAATAGTGCAGCCACTTTGGGAAACCACTTGGCATTCCCTGAAATGAATAAACTTAAAGTAACCACATGACCCAACCATTCTACTTTTGGTATATACCCAAGAGAAATGAGAACAGATGCCCACACAGAAACCTATATCCAAATATTTGTAGTGATATTATCAATATCAGCCAAAAGATGAAACAACCCAAATATCCATCAACAGGCAAATAAACAAAATGTGGTCTACCCATACAATGGAATATTATGCTGCCATTAAAAGGGATGAAATAGTGACACATGCTACAACATGGATGAATCTTTTTTTTTAACATGGATGAATCTTGAAACATTATGCTAAGTGAGATAAGCCAGTCACGAGTAACCACATATTCTATTCCATTCATATGAAAGTCGAGAAAAAGGTAACAGACAGAAATAGAAAGCTGATTAGTAGGTCCCTGGCACTGGAGAGGTAGGGGGTGGGGTAATGACGGAGGTGGTGGCTAAAGGGTAGGGTTTCCATTAGGTTTTGAGATGATGAAAATATTATAAAATTGGCAGTGGGGATAGTTGCACATATCTGAATATACTAAAAGCCACTGAACTGTATCTTCAAGTAGGTGAAATGTATGGTATGTAAATTATATCACAACAAAGCTATTAATAAAAAAAATAAAACAAAACAAAAAAACCATCAGGGCCCCAGGCTACAATGGCCTCTTGGCCTGAACTGTGCCTTTCCAGACTGAGAAAAACACAGGATGTGGATACTAGGCAGGATGTGAGGTCAGAGACACATGCTATGGCCCACAAAGGCCTCTGCCTGTCCCCACTGAGAACGACCCACTTCTGCAGCAAGGGCTCAGGGAGCGCTACCACCTTTCTTCTCTCCTCAAGCTTCCTAGCCACTTTGACCTCTGCGCCCTATGCCCAAAGGGGAACCACAGACCTGGGCCAGACGGTGGCCCCATTCACACTGGCCTCAGCAGGAGGGAGGTGTGGCAGGTTTGGCAGAGCAGTGCTCACAGGAGAAGGCAGAGGGCAAAGTGGAAATGGAAGCCCTGAGAAGACAACCAGTGGCCATGTGCTGTCCAACCCCCAGAGCATCTTCCCCCATGTGTGAGAAATCCTGCAGGGCAGGTTGCTGCAGCTGAGCACATTATCTGTGAGCTACTGAGAAGGAAATAACTAAGCATTAATGAAGTACTAGCAGAAAATATTATTGCCTGGCACTTGCCATGTTATAAAAGGATGTCACTACAATGGAGAGTGTGGCTGTAAATGGTAACTCTGTGCCAGAAGAAACAGAGAGCCATTTTCGGAATATATAGTTTGGGTGAAGGCAAATGGTGGTTCAAATTCAAAAGCCACATGTCTTACAAGAAAAAATCCAGGAATCACTGTGTCTCATTCCCAATCAGGGTTCTTCAGACTTGTGGAAACTAGACTACAATCACATGTACTGAAACAACTGGGTATAAAATTGTAGCATTCTTAGATAGCAATCTGATAGCAATCAAGAAAAAAAGAAAGCTGGTGTACATGCGTGTGTGTGTGTGTGTGTGTTTGTGTAGAAAAATATATATACATGAATATATTAGAAAATATATATGTATATAAGTGTGTATATACACACACCCTTCAAGAAGTGGGGTGTATGTGCTAGCAATACCATCTAAAAAGTATTTAGGGAGCATATAACCACATTGAGTGGTGAAGAAATCTGTTCCATGGGGCGCTGAATGGCTCAGTCATTAAGCATCTGCCTTCCGCTCAGGTCATGATCCCAGGGCCCTGGGATCAAGCCCCGCATTGGGCTTCCTGCAGAGAAAGCCACCTCTTCCACTCCCCAACTTGTGTTCCTTCTCTTACTGTGTCTCTCTTATCAAATAAAAAATAAAATACAAAAAATAACTCTGTTCCACTGGTCAAGATGGAAAGGGCAGGGGACTCTAAAATACTCCAAAATGAACCACCAGACTTTAGTCAGAAAAATCCCAGAGCTAGAAGAAGCAGGACAGAAGTAAGGATGCCTAATTAAAGGGCACAAAGCTTCCAGAGCTAAAATTGAACAGTCTGAAGAAGTGAAGGCACCAGAGGACCCAGGGAAGACTGTCCAAGGTTAAGGCCACCTGGAGCTCTTTCACATCATATGAAGCAACAGAAAGTTCTTTTCCCTGTTAACAGGATCCAAGATCAGGGAAAACGAGCTGCTTCCTTCTCAAACACTGCTTTTAATGTGACACTATTTTTATACAGTCGTCACATTTGAGGCATATAAATGAAAATCTGTAAGATTTTTTAAATGGCCTATTCATTTAAATATTTTATAATTTCAATTCTGGTATCATACCATCTACATTATGTATGAGGAAGGAGCACTAACACCCCTAATACACATTACCCTATAGGCTTTCTTGTACTTACAGATATTTCCTACCAGAGTACAGGATGCTCAAAGCCCATGCCCACGTGGTTGAACATCAGGACTTTCAATAACAGGCGCCCAGTGAAGAACAGCTTGCCCAGTGAATGGTGCTAATGGTGGGAAGTTCTTCCCAGTGGTACACATAAGGGTCTGAAGTGTACTAAATCCTCTTAAATTGTTAGATATGCTAGACTTGAAGAACTTAGCAGCCACCTAACGAAAAGTCTTCATGAACCCAGAACGGGTCAAGCTGTGTCTTAGGCCAGAGTTTGCCAAGGACTGGGGAGAGTTGGCCACAGAGCTGGCCACAGAAAGTCCCCCTGACTCTGTCAGTCAGCTGCAGAGCCACCATCTTCATACAGCTAAGCCTTGCCATCTAGATTTTCATAGTCAGTATAAGACACCGATACCAGCTTCGATCTGTTTCAAGAAGCATGGTGTCTCTGCACTATTATACTTCCCCACCAGTTTGTGTGCCCTGACTCACTGTTGCACTCTCTCACCTCTAGCCTATGCTGGGTTCTCGCTTCTATCCTAGGCCTGACTTCATCTCTGAACCTTTTCTGTTCCAAGGAAAATGACTCCAGCCATTTTGACCTTGTCTACATCTAACCTACTCTAGATTTTGTCTAAATGCTGTTTAGACTCAGTCTGTTCAGATTCAGGAAGCCTAGACATTTTATGAAAGTTTATTTTCAGGGTACGTGGGTGGTGCAGTTTTTTAAGTATCTGACTCTTAGTTTCAGCTCAGGTCATGAGATCAAGCCCCGCGTAGGTCTTCACACTCAGTGGACAGTCCGCTTGAGATTCTCTCTTTTCCTCTCACCCTCCCTATTGTGCTTATGTGCGTACTCTCTGTAAAATAAGTGAATCTTTTTAAAAAGTTTCTTCTCATATAAAGTTCTTTACACAAATGTCTCATGCCTACAGTTAACAATATTATTTTATACATTTTTTTAAATTTGTTTTTTTAATCTTATAATAAGTGTTCTACCCAGTTTTTTTTTAAATAAACTTTCTTATATAATATCTAGGATAAGAACTAGAACTATAAAGATTAATCAAGAAAATCCGAACAGACCAATTACCAGCAAAGAAATTGAATCGGTGATTTAAAAACTCCCAACAAACAAGAGCCCAGGGTCAGACGGCTTCACAGGTGAATTCTACCAAACGTTTACAGAAAAGTTAAAACCTTATTCTTCTTAAACTATTCCAAAAAAATAGAAAAGGAGGAGAGGAGTAGCAGGCTGAGATGACATCAGGTAGCAGGAGTTCAGCTAGATAGTTATAAAACCATTCCAAACACCTACAAATCCAACAGGAGACTGAAGAGAAGAGGAGCAGCAATTCTAGAAACAGAAAATCAACCACTTTCTGAAAGGTAGGACCTGTGGAGAAGTGAATCCAAAGCGACGGGAACACAGGGGAGGGGCCAGCTCCTGGCAAGCAGCGGAACAACAGCACAAAATCAGAATGTTTAGAAGTCTGCTCCACTAAGGGACATCACTCCAGAGGCTAAGCAGGGGTGGAGCCCTTGCGGGGACAGTGTGGTCTCAGGTCCCGCGGGGTCACAGAAGGATCGTGGGTGTCTGAGTGTAGTGCAGAGCTCACAGGTATTAGAACGGAGAAGCCAGCTACGGAGACGGAGCAGAGGAGGGAGCTCTCAGCTCAGGGTTACCTTAAACTGTGATCTGTGGAACAGTCAGACCACTGAGCAGGGACCCCACAAGATCCAAGGAGGACCCCCTGGAAGAGCGGTAGGAATCTGCTGGGTCTGGAGACTCCAGGAGGGGCTGTGTACCAGAGACAGAAGCTCTCGGTCACAGGATGGGTGAGCTCAGAGCACGGCCAGAGCCCAGGGAGATGGGAGTGATTGAGCACTTTTCTCCAATGGTGCACCAAGGAGTGGAGCCCTGAGCTCTCAGTGAGCTCTCGGCTCCTCCAAGCCGGAGACTGAGAGGCCGCCATTTTCATTCCTGTCCTCCAGAGCTCTATGGAAAGCATTCAGGGAACAAAAGCTCTCGAGCGAACCAAAAGATTACTTAGCCTGA